GTTAATGATGATCGATGTGAACATTCAGTATCGCTGAAAGACATGTTTTCTGTCTTTTTTCGCTAGGTTCAAATAAAATTCAACCTAGACACAAAGACGATCAACTTATGTTCAGATTGTTCTTGCGTACAATAGAAAAGAGAATGAAAAAAAAATGTATGTTAGCTAGATATTTTCTTAAATGTATGTAGATATTTTTCTTTTTCGTTTCTGTTCAATTCATCTTTTTTTTCCGTCCAGTCGATGCGCCGCACGTCGGCGTTCGTTTCGTCATTATTGATGTGTCAAGACACTCCCAGCTGGAAAGGAAAAAAATTTGAAAAATATATTTCAGTAACGTATATATTCATGCATCTAATCCGTCTATTCCTTTGAAGACGATCAAAGAAATGCCGATAATAGTTGTCCGATGAAAAAACAACAACTATTGCACACATACGCGCATTCATATAGATATATATATATACATATAATTGGATCGTGGCATCAAATAAGAAACGATGGCGGTGCGCATCATACTTAGTAGTTAGGAAAAAAGCATATATGTGTGAAAAACACTAATCTTTAACCTCATTCAATGATATTAGATTATAGGAAAATATTTCAAGAATTATTTGCTGATAATTCGATACGAAAATGTCATGTGTATGAATGATAGAATTACACATAGAAGTATTTCATGATTAAGCCACATTCTTTTATGAATAAATAAATACGAAAAAAAAATCAATAATTTATTATTTTTTTCCTTCTTACAATAATTGATTATTAGAGATACATTGTTATTTTTATATGCAAAACACCATATGTGTTTTCCACTAGAGATATTTAAATTAATATAAATAGAGCAGAATGGAATTGAATAACAAAAACAATCCTATTTGATATATATGGTTTAATTCTTTTATTATCAATTAACAATATAGATACTATATTGTTGAAAACATAGACGAAAAAAACAATTTTATGATATTTAGTAAGGTTTTCTACTAGTTGATTTTTTCTTTGATGTTATTTGTGTTTGATTGTCAATAGAATTATTTGTTGTTGTTGATGATGGTTGCCATTGTACCAATTGTCCATCATCACTACATGTATATAGTGATGAATGATAAGTTACTGCTGCACGTAATGTCTCAGAATGAGGTGAATTAAGTGGCAAAATAGTCGGTTCACATTTATCGGCTGTAACTAATGTAATATTCATTTTGCCCATATGATCACACATTAATAATGGCCAACAGGATTTTGTCTCTTGTAAAACAGATGGTAATAGATTATTGATATTACTGTCAGCAAGTATATCAACAATAGTTGAATGTGTTGATGGAAGATGATGAGTGACTGTTGACGATTTTAATGATGTATCCATTTGTTCAGATGGCATATCTGATGTTAGAATATCATTATCTGTATCTCCTTGTACAAGTAATTCTTGATTTTCTTCCGCTGTTGACCAAATATAAAAAGCATTCGATGCAGTTATTGCATATATTGTATTATATTGAGAGAAACCACATTTTGCAACAGGTCCATTCGCATTATAAACCTAGTAAAGAAAATACATTTTTAAAAAATTCTTTTCATTTTCTAAATATATATATACTTGTTCAAGTCCATCATCTTCATTTGCTTTTTTCACATCATATAAACATACAAGACCATCCGTTGATCCACTTAATAATTTCGAAGAATTCAATCGACAAAATTCAACTTGAATAATATCATCCGAATGAGATTCTGTGTAATATCCTAATAATTGTTTATTTCCAGGTGATCGTAAATCCCAAAAAGCAATAGCAACATTTTCTTCACCTTTAAGTTCACTACCAGCAGCAACCAAGAGATCTTCATTATTAGATGTTACTGAAAGAAATTTATGTTCATCTGCACAACCATTTAATTGAAAAGTTTCTTGTTGCGGTGTTCGTATATCCCATGCCAGAACTAAATTTTTATTAGTTGAAGCAAATAAAATATGAGGTGATATATAAGCATATTGAATTGAACTAATTGTTATGCTAGATGATGAATCATTACTATCGAAATTGTTTGAAGTCGATGAAAGAACTGATGTATGTTTTAATGTTGATGCATCAAACAATTGAATTGTAGTTGGAACAGTTAAGACAGCAATTTGACTACCTGTACTATTTATAGTAAGATTGGTAGCATAACAATCATTGTTTTCAAGTGAAGTTCGTACTGAACTTTTGTTTGTATAAACGAGAGGTGATGATGATGAACGTGAATTTGTAGGCTTGATTTTCATATCTGAAATATCTCTAGAGAAAATACTACTACAATAAATTCTTCATACTATCTTAATTTTCTACTGATGAAATTCAATTGTTTTATTTGTGCTTCCTGTTTTTTTAGCACATCTATAAAGTCGAGTAATTCATTATAACGTTTATTCTTTTAATCCCTCTTTTTTTTTGTTGAATGAAACAATAACAACAACAAGAACACAATAATAATAAAACAAATACAGAGAAATATATTATGATATTACAGTTCGCTGCTATTTTTCGTTATATTTCTTTCTAATAAACATGAACCATTCCATAAAGAAATGTCCAAAAGAGTACATATGTTAATAGACCATTAAAAAATCCATTAACAAAAACATGATTTAAATTTGTAAAAAATCTACGATGTTCATGTCGAATAAAGGCAAATATCATTAATGATAATAGAAGCATTGAAAAACCATAAAAAACAAATCCTTTATATGATGTAAGACCAATAATACCAGCAACACAACCGGATAAAGCACTAACAGATGTACGACATTGTTCAAGGCTATTTTCATTAAAACGAACAGCTGTATCACTATATAAAATCGATTCAGCTTTTCGTTTATTGCTACCCGTTGATGAGATTGATGTACCACTTGGAGATAAATGCGTTGTTGAACCAACAGGACGTGATGCTGGTGTACGACGAATTTGCATTTCACTATTTGCTGACATTGTTTATTTAGATTTTAACTACAAAGAAATTCGAATTAAGACTTGATACACATCTAGAAAAGAAAAAAAAACGAAAGAATGTAAATAAAAAAAAAAGAATTCATATCAAGAATAACATAGTTGTTTTTAACAATAACACATAACTGATATTCACTGGTTTAAAACAAAAAAAGGGAAAATAATAATAAAAGAAAATCTATTTTTGTTTTATGTTAGAATTTCTAAATTGATTAAATCGTTTCACGTTTATATAAATAAAGATAAGCTAAATCTTTTGGTGGATGTTCAGATAATGCAACATGTTCATCATTAAATATAATCCAACGACCATCTTTACGTATATGTGCGACATAATGACCACATGATGGATGATTGCCAATATGTGAAATAAATGCAATAAGACGATATTTACCAGTACCATCACGATAATGTGTTTTAGTTTGTTGTAAAGGTGGTGATTGAGGTGATGATTCAACTAATGCAGCCAAAGCAGAACTACCTTCAGGTGTATTAAGTGCCCAATCAACAGCTGCTTCAACATTATTATTTGATAATGATAATGCATGAAGAGCATGATTACGTGAAAAACCCATTGACATAATTATACCAATACTTTCTTCATCAACCTAAAATTCATAGATACATAACAAAAGATTCTGATCTTTTTTTTATGTAACTTACGGGTGGTGATTGAACTTGTTCAACACGAGCTCTTTTCATCGGTGCTTCATAAGGTGTATCAAAATCTGGATCTGATTGATGTTCAAATACCCAATTCATAGCTGCTTCAATATCATTATTACCGGTATTGATTAATGCACGTTTACAACCTTCAGTCGAAAAACCCATATCAATAAGTTGTTGTAAAAGAACTTCATTAACATGAATATTCGATGTTGAAGCTGATGATTGTCCTGTTGAGATATCGCCTAAATAATTAAAGATTTTCTTATTATTTTTTTTAAAGAAATTTTTGAGTTACCATCGGGCATTAATGTTTCACCATGTTGAAATCCTGTTGCACGTAATGAATTAAGATCAATTTCATCAGGTATTTCCATTGATACATCAAGTTTTTTTGGTGTCCAATCTGGATTAAATGTATATTTTTTTAATTGAACAAAAAGATAATCAGGATATGTTATAAATCTTTGAGTTTTTCTAATTGTTGTTCGACGTCCATGTCGTGGTAAGATATAATCAACAATATCTTCCGGTGCAGCCCACTGTGAAATTGCTTCCGTAAGTGGAATAATTGGACGTACAATTGGTAAATCATTTGTTTTTTTTCCTTCTTTTTCCATATCTTCTTTTGTTTTATTAAATTGAAGTACTTCATGCATATTTTTTGAAGCTTCTATTGGTACACCTAATCTTAACATTGTTTCATTACGAGTTAAATATCGAACTTGATTTATTTCCGGACAATAAATACGTTCTTCAAGTTCAAATTGAAAGCAAGTACTTGGATCAAGTGATGGATCTGCTGTTGAATCTTTTAGACAATGATTATGTACTTGTTCAATATAATATTGAAGAAATTCAGCAGCATCTTGTTGTTGTTTAGTACCAAAATCAGGATGATTACGACCAATTAATGAACGAAACATTTGTGGACGAATACCTGATGGTGCTTGTAATGATGAATCACCACTCATTGAAATTTCTTTTGAATATTGACCAGATAAAAGACCAAAAGCTAATTTAGCTGTTTGTGCATTAAAATCATTGACGGGATCTTTCGCTTTATCAAAATAAAAATTACAATTTTTATAATATTTTTCTTGAAAATCATCTAAAGTAAATAAAACTTGTGCGACTGAATTCATGTAACATGAATTTCCTAAATTTCTCATTCCAGTATAACCTATAAATAATTATGAATTATTATATGTAAAATTAAAATTCTGAAAATTTATATACCTGGACCATAAACAGGTTGTAATTTTGAATTTGCTTCTTCAATCATAGATGCTTCACCATATTTTTGATTTAATTCAATTTCTAAATCAGCCATTGATCTATCACTCTTTTCCATTTTCAACATATTAATTCCCCAATGTCCTAAGTGAATAGCAAGATTTGGATCTTCAACCATATCATCTTCATCATAAGAATAAACATCAGCACCTTTCGCCGTTATTGTTCCTAGAAAACAAATAATGTCAAAAAAAAAATAACAATATTTATTCGAAAATGAAATATTCCTAGTTCTATTATTTTTAAACTAGTTATAATGTGACAGATATGATCGACACAGAGACTAACCTTGCCGAACTTATGAGACATATGTCAAGATAAAATGTAATTAGAAAAATATTAGATTAACTAACCAAGTTTGACAGCTAATGGATATTTTGTTTTATGATAATATTCAGACGCATGATTATTTCCACCAGTACCATCAAAAAATTTTCGTCCACATAAAATAGCTCCATCAGTGAGATTAAGCCATAAATTATCTTTTAAATCACATTGATCACATTTCCATCCATTTGGTGGAATTTGTCGATTATTATTTAATTGTTGTAATGTTGCAGTATGTTTTGTTATTGGACGTATGTCACCATTCCATGTTACATTCATAAGTGAACGTTCTTCTTTTAAAAAAGCTGAGTCAGCAGCTATAATAGCATCAGCTGATCGTTTAACCAATTCCGGTAATTGATTTGTCTCATCTGGATAATGAATAGTCTCATTTGGATGTATATAAATTTCATATTGTTCTTCAAATGTAAATCGATTTGATTGATTTGCATCAAAACCACCTTCAACACCAATTGCTAATTTCGTTACTTTAACCGGTTCAACATTTGGATCTACTGGTACTGGTTTACGTTTTCGTAAAATATGTAAGAAAACATTTTTTCCTGGATTCATTTTACAATGTCGTTCAAGATGATCTTTTCCTACTCCACGAAATGTTGACATACAAATGTAAAGACCATGTTCAGATTCTGGATTATCAAATGAATAAAGACATTCATCTTTATAAACATTATCATTTGAACCTGGTACACGAACATTTTTATATTTATCAGCCATTATTTCTAATCTGAAAGTAAAATGAATTGTATGTAATATTTACACAGAAAATTTTTTTAATACTGTAAAACAAAACATAACATAAATAAAGTATATACAATGACTAGATAATGAATTTAGATATTTCTATATAGCACACATTGTCTTTTGATATATATATATACATAATGTGCACGGCACAAGATTATTATGACAGGAAAGAAAAAAAGGATTCATTCTGTTAAAGCATTCATTCATCCATTTAAACATAAAAAGAACTTAGATGGCGTACTGATATGAGAAAGAAAAGTTAATTACTTTAAGAAAAAATGACATAAAAAAAACAAAAGAATTGATAAGATTACAGGGTGTCATATTTTTATCGATCACTGAATTTTTCTTGCTATATAAATTCTGTAAAATGTATCTAACAAATGATCTAGTTCGCTTATAGTTCAAAGAAAATCTAGAAAATACTTACTACAAATTTTTCTTTTTATATTTCTTCAATCATCAATAGTGCTTCTACTAGCAAAATTAGTCTCAATACATGTTACTACGATGAACATGGAATGTTAGCGATCTAACTTAAAAACTGACAGAAAACGATTTTATAGGAAAAGAACGCATTTTAATCTATCAAATCATGTAGCATTTTATACACCGAGAAATAAAAAAGAATAATTAATACTTTATCTCATACACAAAAACACTATTTGAATTAATTTTAGGTTTAAATGATTGAGTGAATACTCCAACAGCTTTTCTCTCTCTCTTCTGCTATTATTGTCTTTTTCAGTGCACATTGTGCATATATATTAAAAGCCAATGTGTATAATATAGAAATAACTAACTTTGCATTTGCACAAAAAAAGCGTATCGTCTTTGTAAAAGTACATTTTGTTAAATAGTTTTATTCCTCATTAGGTATAGTTTGATCTTGTTCTGTTGATGAATTACTACTTAATGATTGAGAATGATTACGTTCATGCCATTCTTGTACTTTAGTTCGACTATCAGTTGTTTGTTCTGGTTTTTTTATTATATTTAATTCATAATCATCAATTGTCGTCGGATCACACTCATAATTAGTTGTCATTATACCATAACGTTCAGATGCTGAATCTGATTCACTATCATTATCTTCTTCATGACGTATTTCTTCTTCTTCATCTTCATATGATGATGAACTATATTCATCTTTTTCTTCTGGTTTATTTAATTGTTCATCTTCATGAGTAGAATTCTCATCACTATTAGAATTTTCTTCATTATTTATACTATTTTCACTTTCACTTTGTGATCTTGATGATAGATGATGAGATTCTTCTTTACCAATAAAAATCTAGAATTAAATATGATAAATAAAATATTTTTTGATTCTCATATTAACCTGTTGTGGTTGTTCCAGAGTTTGACGAGTATTTTTAGTTAATTTACTCATTTCATTTGAAGCAGCATCAAGTGCATTTAAAATTTTACACATTTGAGCTTCAGTTGTAGCAAGACGATTTTGTAATTGAGATATTTCATTATTAGTTAATTTATTTCTTGGTTGACTTGCTCCAAGTTTTGAACTTATAAATGATAATGAATTTTTCATTTCATCAAGAGTATTATGCACTAAAAATATATATATATTCAAAAATAATTTCTATCGAATAATTTTTTACTTTGCTTTTGTTCCGTTGTCAATGTTTGTTCTGCATCAATTTCTTTCTGTTTTTTTAGTCTTAAATATTCAACATAGTCAGGATCTAATCCTAAATATAATATTTATATTAGATAAAAATCAGAGATATTATAAATAAGAATAACAATACCAGCATATAAATCTTCTTCAATTTCTTCATCATCCGGCTGATAACGAGTATTCATATTATATTTAAATTTTTTTTGTTGAGCATTCCATTGAATATTATCAGTTGAATAACGAAGTTTTATTTTAGTTTCGTCAGTATTTCGCTTTGGCCAATACTAAATAAATCAATGGATATAATCAAAATAAATAATCGAAAATTAATTCAATATATACTTTGAAACAAGTGTAGAGGAAGAATACTCCAATACCAACAGTATACATTGGTAATGCAAAAGTAACACCTAATTTTGAATTACTTTTATCTATTGTTGCTGGTTGTCGATTATCAGCATCTGCTTGACGCATTCGCATATTAGGATGTGCGGAATGCATATGTGAAGATGAATCCTAAAATGAATTAAAAGATAATAAATATTTTCTTTTAAACATAAATAAAACAAACGGAATTATGTTCAGTTGTATGATCGTCATCATTAAGACGCATTTGTGATGATGATGGTCGTCGAAAATCTGTAATAGATAATTATTGTAAATTGTAATTATTAGATTGAATACCTACGATCATTCATATTATGTGATGGCACAGATGATTGAGAACGAAGTAATGGTAGGAAAATTCGTGGTACAAGAACAGCAAAACAACCAAATACAATAGCGATAGCAACGCTTGGTCTTGTTAAAAAAGACATTGTAAAATATATATCAATGATAATATTGATTTTCAATCGTTCATAGAAAAATGTTCTTACTAAGCTAATATTTTTGCGTTAAGCATTTCATTGATAAAATAGTAAACGACGATTCTGATGACGATACTATAGATGTCGTTCGTTGACATTGTAATATGAATAAAATAGAAAAATCTAATCTTCATAGCTAATAATTGATTACTAAGAAAAATATTCTCGATCACTGAAAAATGCATCTTTAAATTATCATTTTTAAATGCTGATTTTACAAGATCGCATAAATTATTCTTCTTGTTTTGCAAAAAATATGAATATAAAATTCAAGTTTATGTAACAGAGACCATTAGAAAGTAGAACAGAAGAAACTTTTTTTTAAAGCAATTAGTATTTAATTTGATAAGGATCTTTGATCCAATTATGTTTACACCGTCAACAATCACAATACATTTGATAACATGCTGATCATATATACAATTCAATGACTTATTTGATAGTAGAAATTTAAATACCTCTCATTGAGCAGGATCTTATTTATTATACAAACATAATTGTAGTCATAAGGCAAATGTCAACTACCAGATGATTGATATATAATTGTGATAAGATACAGAAGTTACTGCACGTATTTTATTTCTATAGATTCCTAGCTTTGGATTCTATCAATCGAACGATAAATCATCTTCAACTTCATCATTTACTAATAATACCATATTGTCGCATGATCGACACTAACACAGCTATTTTCAAATTCTATAACAGTCTGTTGCTGATCATGATTTCTGTAACCAAAAAGCGAGTTTTTTCAAGTATGCCAAGCATAATAACTGCAAAATGCCTTCACTAGAATATGAGATCGAAAAAAACATTTTTTAAAATCTTAGTCGTGTGAGACAGATCTAGAGCAGAAGAAGCCGTAAGAACATATTGCTGATAGTTCCTAGAAGGACTTCAAACTCTACTGCTGTATATTTCAACATTCCTTTTCGTTCACATTTCACAATCAAAGAAAATAGGAATTGATCTTATTAAATTATACTTAGATAAAATTCAATTGATTACGAAAACACTTTTTCAATAGGTACTGTTACTGGAAAAAGTAGTTTCGTGGAACATATATCGATCATCATCCATTAAAATGATATTTCGATCATGTATTTTTCACTGTAAAAACTAACAGAAGAATATCTTTACATAAGAACATCCATGTTGTAACCAAGAGAAGAAAATATAAAACAAGAAAAAGAACGAAATAAATAACACGTGCAAACGATAAAAGTATAAAATGTCATTTATCTTGATGGTATAGTCTCGAATGATTATTTTTATATGTTGAAGTAAACAAAACAGTATAATATTTATCTTTTTTTTTTTGATTTATTCATATTTAATTAATAAAAATAGATGTTTCAACAAATTCCTCTTATTGATTTTGGTCCTTTTCTTAATGGAACAGACGAAGATCGTCAACGGGTATCCTCACAAATAGGTGATGCTTGTCGTAATGTTGGATTTTTTTATATATCAAATCACGGTGTATCATCCACACTTACAGAACGTGTATATGAACAAGCAAAACGATACTTTTCTCAGTCACTTGAAGAAAAAATGAAATTATATATTGGTTCATGTCCATGTGGAAATAATCGAGGATATACACCAATGTTTGAAGAAAAATTAAGTTTAAAAGGTGATCTTAAAGAAGGTTTTGACTTGGCAATGGAATTACCAGCTGATGATAAAGATCGAATAGAACGAGGTGCTTTGTTATATGGACCTAATTTTTGGCCTGATAATCTTGAAGGTAATTAAACAAGAAAAACAAATATTACTTGTATAAATACATTTGTTTAGGATTTCGTGAATGTATTTATGATGAATATTATTTAACAATGATTTCTCTTGGTCATAAAGTACTAGAAGCTTTTGCATTATCTCTTAATTTACCTTTGAATTATTTTAAATCAATGTCTCAAAAACCAATGGTAACAATGCGTCTACTTCATTATCCTCCTCAACCAGTAGTTCTTGATGAAGATCAACTTGGTTGTGGTGCTCATACAGATTATGAATGTTTTACACTTCTTTCACAATCAAATCAATCAGGTCTTCAAGTACGTAATAATAAAGGAGAATGGATCCATGCTACACCTATTGAAAATACATTTGTTGTTAATATTGGTGATATGATGCAACGATGGACAAATGATCAATTTAAATCAACAGTTCATCGTGTTATTAATGTAAGTGGTACAACACGTTATTCAATACCAGTTTTTTTTGGACCTGATTATTTTGCTGAAATAAAATGTTTAATTAATGACGAAACTCCAAAATATGAACCTGTTATTGCTGGACAGTATCTCACACAGAGATTTGATGATACATATAATTATAGACAAAAAAATTCAGACTCTTCTTATTGAGTGTAATACATTAAATATTGAATTAATTTATCTATTTCTTTTTAACAAATAAAAAACAATTTTTGTAATGTATTTTATTAAATGAATATGTGAGTTCATCGCTATGATATATTATCATCTGTCTTTGCAGTGCAAATTTTCTAATTTATTATTTAAGTATTTCTAATATCGAAAATAATTACTTTCGTATACCGGATATTATTTTTCTAATATTAAACTGTAGACATACTCTACAATCTTTCGATTGTTTTTTTCTATTTTTAGAAATGAACCAGTTAGTCTAATAGAGATTGTCAATAAACCGATCTCGTTTTGTATTCATACGTCATTAGAAATAATTTCTGATAAGAAGATAAAGAACCTAGAATATCAACCAAGAGTGAACAAAACAAAGTTTGAATGCTTCAAGAGTATCTCTCATCTTTTATATATTAGTTGGTTGGTTTTCATTATACTTAACTTGAACTCATTTTTTATAATTAAAGAAGATTAAGAGTAATGATATATAAATTACCATAAATCTATCACGCACACGTTTACATACACGTATGTGGCTTAGATAACCACAAATAGATATGCACTTCTATGATCCTAATATTCTTTTTTTTTTATAAAACAAAGCATCTTACGCAAACAAAAGTCTCGTGAAAAAAATTAAGTATTTTGTGTCTGTATCTGTCAGGCGGGTAGATGATAAAATAATTACTGTTGAGTATTGTTTGTGAATATTACGATGAGCAAAAGCTTGACATGTTAGGTAATCAGAATAAATAAGAAATGTCTTATGGTAGTTCACAACACAATGTGACAGTGGAAATATATGAAAACCAATTATGACTTGAACAAAAAAAAGAGAATCGTGTCTAAAAAATAATCGTCGATGCATGGTTGACAGACTTGTCAAACGAGCCGACAATAAATATCGCATTCAACTCGAATAAAATCACGGGTGTACTTCAAATAATCATACAAAGATTGATGACAATATATATTAGTATTTGAAATGTTTAATTGCTGAAATAAAGTCTACTAAAAATATATTTGATTAATTAACAGAAAAGTTTTTTTCTATCTTCATTTCATATACTGTTCTATTTTGATATGTTAACAATAAAAAAAGAATCTAAATAAAAATGAAACTGTGACGTATTCACAAATAATCGGATTAAAAGTATATTTAAAAAAACTAATTACTTTACTTTGATATTATAAGTCAAGATTTAATCTCTTTAACTCGATACCGTTATTTTCGATTTTTATTATTTGCACCAGGAAAAAACATTATTAATAGAAGTGTCAAATATAGTCATAGTAGAAATTATTTTTCTCATAAAACTTATTGATCAAAACACATTTGGTTTTTCTCAACATTAGTCAAAAGTCATCAAATTTAATAATATCATGTCGTTTTGTTTTGTCGCATGTAACTTCATAGGAAAGTTGATGTAATGACAAATGAAATCTTACAAAAAATTTCATGTCTTGTATTTCTCCTTTTCTTTTACACTAATGATTTCATTTCCATAACAGTAAAGGAATACTTATATTCAACACATTAATTATAAGTATACGCCAGAAGTAATATAGTTGCTACGTTTTTTTTTCATTTCTATTAACTATTCTTCATGATATTCAAGTAGAAAATTGCTACTCCATTAAGCTTAGAGGAAAAAAATCCTTGAAATGTCCTTAGTTTTAGAATTATTTATGAACGATCAATAAGGAAGTTTTTTTCTTTATATTCAAGTTTATTTTTTTACATATATAAAATGTTTTTATTCTAACTAAATCGACTCTCATATCTGCTATATAAATATTGCTTGGATAAAATGTTGATATATCAAATAAAAAGAAACGTTTATTTATGTTTTTCCTCGTCTGATGAAGATGATGATGAATTCCAATTCTTTGAATCATCCACTATAAATAAAAAAGGAGGTAAATAAAGAGAAGGGAAAAACTTTCAACATACTTGAAATAGCTTGATCGTTGACACCTTTTTTAATACCATAATGTTTAAGAGAATGTTTGCCTTTGAGTACTTTATCACGGAAAATAAGACGACAACCTTCTTCAAATTGTGGTTTTAATCGTAATTTTAGTTCAGTTTTCAAATCATGAACATGAGTTTTTTCATCCAATACAAACGTCAAGGATTGTCCATCAGATTTTCGTACAACTGTAACACTCACTTGATCAGTGGGTGTTGTAATTACTGGTTCAGTTGAATGTGACATTTATTACAGAATCTTGAATTTGTTTTATTTTTTATTGCGAATGGAGCTGAAAAGGAGTTTATATAGAAAATAACTACGTAAAATAAGGGTAAATGTAACATACCGAACGAGGGAGAGAGAGAGAAATGCTCGAAGAAAGAAAGAAAAAAAGAACTGCTTGCTATCTTTCTTTTCTTCCACTAGTCTAGCATAGTAAACTGATGTAGAAGAAAAAAAGAGAGAACCGATATTGTGTCGTTAAAGTGATGGTTGTATTCTGGATGTTAACAAGGCACTGACATAGGCAAGGTTATAGAGAACGATATGCAAAGAGGGAGAGAGAAAAAAAATCATGTTTCACTCGCTATTATATATAGCAATGTTTTCTATAGCCCTAGATTGTATAGTTACATTATAGTTTGTACTTTTTGATATTAGCTTGATTAAAATAGAAAAGATAGAAATTATTCTGTATGCTAAAAATAATAAAATCTCGTCTGATTTCGCATTATTAGTCAATGAAAATAATCTAACGGACTTAATTGACCCGTTACTAACGTAGAAGTTATAAGTGAATATTATTTTACACTAAACTATACAAATTCGATTGTGACTTATAATGTTTTAAGCATGTTTACATTGTATATTATATATTCCATCATTTGTATAAGAAAGTTATTATTTTGGTAAACGAAGACAAGATAAAAGAATTAGGCTTTTTATTTTTGTTATTTATCATCGAAATTATTGTAAGTTACAATGTCTGTCAATAATGACCTATAGTAATTACTCTTATGTTATAATATAATTATCATAACTTAGTTATACTCAAACATCCTGGCTATATTAAAAATCTTAATAATAATATAGATAGAAATAAACTGATTAACGAAAATAAAAATCGAATGTTTTCTTGAGTCAAAATGGTAGATTGAATAACATAAATATAATTGGAATGATTTAATCTATTCTTTTCGCTCGCTTATCATTTTAATGTAGTATTAAGTATGATTGTATTACCTTATATATTAAAACAAAACGTGAGAAATATATTAATCACAAACATATTCGATCTGATTACAAATAAAAATAGAACTACTTGTTTTCATCTACTAAATTATCAGCAGTATTGTATATAAACCAGCAGTGGCAAAATTCTCCCAAGCAAAATCTAAGAATTCTGTCAGTGTTCTTTTTTTAAAATCTTCGAAAATTGTTACAGAATATACTATACTTCTACAATAATATGCTGCTCCACATATCTCTATCTTTAAATAATAATTTTGCCTGGAGCTATTTTTGCAGAGGAATTTTACTAGAATTCTAGTTCATTCATCAAAATCTAGTCAGAATTCCACTTTATTCATCAGAATTGTGCTTTATCATATACACATATTCTTCAATTAAAATCAAAATTCTGCTTAGAATTTTGTTTATTCAGTATAATTTTATTAGAATTTTAATTGATCCAGCAGAATTGGGCTCTACCATATATACATATACCTGTCTATACAGAAATTCTTCTCTTAAAATCAAACTTCTGTCAAGAATTCTGTTATTCTGGCAGAACCCAGTTAAATTTTCGATTTCCTAATAGAACTGTGCTAGACTCTTCACATGTGTTATTACTGAGAAATCAAAGCTCTGTGAAGAATTCCGCTGTTCTAGGAAAGCTTTGTCGAAATTCTAAATCTCCGATAGTATCACCGTCGAGCAAATGCGATGTATAGAGATTATAGTTAAACATAACTTAATTTCATATTGTCTTCGCTGTTCTATTTAACTCTTACGAGCAGTAAAATTAAAAAAACATCATTTTTTATCTCACCGTCTGTTTCATTCTTGTTTTAGTAAGGAACAAGTAATTTCTGTATACTTTTTTCTCTTCTCTTTTAGCTTCACTTTCAGCAGGAATAAAATTAAAAATACATCATTTTCTATGTCACCGTCTGTTTCATTTTTGTTTCAGTAAGGGACAAGTGATTTTTGTATACTTTCTTTTGCCTTCTCTTTTAACTTCACTTGTAGCAAGAATAAAATTAAAAAGACATCATTTTCTATCTCACCGTCTGTTTCATTCTTGTTTCAGTAAGGGACAAGTGATTTTTGTATACTCTGTTTCACTTCTCTTTTATCTTCACTCTCAGGAGGTATAAAATTAGAAAAAACGTTATCTTCTCTCTTACCATCTTTATTATCTTCGTGCTGTTTTCTAAATGGCTGGTGGCAATGATGCAGATGATCTTCTGATATCATTCGAACGTTTGTCAATTACAACTAATAATACAAAACACCGTGTCGAAACATCCGAGGCGGTACACGAGGTAGACAAAAAGGAAGAACCTTACTTTGTGCATATTGACATTTCATGCAACTCAGACCGCTCAAGAAATAAAGCCGCGAGATGGATCAATTCCTATATGCTACGAAAATATTATTTTGATCCTCGTCGTTATCATAACTTCTTAGATGATGTTTTTATGAACGAAGATGAAACTCCTGGACATCCAACATTAGCACAAATGCGTAGTGCGATGCAAGCATCAGAAAAATATTATGAATTGTGGAAAGTCAGAGGTGATTTCGATTTAGCAGCTTTTTATGAGCATTTTGTTAGGGGTAATTTTGATAATCTGTGTATTCATGTCACCCAGTTATTCGAGGATGGTGAATATACACTAACTCGTAAGCAATATTAAATGAGGCTAAGCATTATATTGTGCTAATTTCTTTTGCATTTTTTATTGTTCAAGAATTTTTCCTTTCATGGCTTTTATCTGTTCCTCTATCCTAGTCGGTTTATTCTAGCTATGTGTTGTTTTCAATGTAGTCTTCTACCATACTTTATGTTATGTGTTTTTTGCCTTTTTTTTCTTTTAATTGTGCTTTCTCATGTAGTCTTAGGATCGAATGATCGTAGTTTTTATTCAAATAAAAAATAAATATAAAATTCTGTCAAGATTTTGTTCACCGTCCGTAGAAAAATTAAACCATGGAATACAACAATGATGTGAAATATAAATACGGTTATCATTTGGAGAATCTTACATGAGTTACTTACTTTGATTAAAAATATGGACTACATGTTAATATTGTCAATTTGTTAAATATAAACTTTTTTTTGTTACTATAATTTCTTTTGAATCTAGTTGTAGAAATATACCCTTATAATGAAAGCATCATGACATAGTCCAACGCTCAGTTGAAGCGTCAGTTGCTATTCAAACAATTGAACTATTACCATCGCGACAAATATTGGTGTGTATTACCGAATCTTAGCGTTTTAAAAATTCTGCCACAAAATTGTACACGCGAGTCAAGAAACAATAATTAAAATAAAATTAACTCTAAAAATTGGTATGTGATATGAACTATCAATTGCTGTAAGATGAGGAAGAGAAATATCTATGTCATATGTGTTGTTATAGACAATATATAGAAATATGAGCATATTTTCAAGCCTACTGTCTTTTGTTGTTACGACCCAAAGAAGGAAAAGATAAGGATCAAAGATGACGAGATGAAAAATAAGAAGAAATTTCTTTGAATACTTCTTTAATATATTGTGTTTAACGTGTTTATTCATATATCTTAATTGAAGCAACCTTCTCAATTCAAAACAAACTTTTTCCTATTCAGTAATTTTGAGATGTTGAAGTGACGATAGTTATATACAATCAATTATAATAAACATCATTTTTCCTTAGTAATTAATTGTATATGGATAATTCTATAGGAATCTAGAAGAAAAACTATCAATAACGAGATAAAATGATATAATCAAATTACTTGTAATATGAAAAAAGAAAATAGATCAATAATATATGTTTTGTTAGAAATATATTTTATTGATTCTCAGATTCATCCTATATGTAGAACTAACAAAATTTAATTCAATAAATAGTTTAATTTTACTTTTTCGATTATTTAATATAATGAATAAAAATCAAATGAATTGATGCAAACAGCATAACACAGTTGTATAGATATTATTGATTTCATCTCAGTACACTATTAAAAAGAAATAGACAGATTCTTTAAAAGAAATAGTATCGTATTCATGTCCAATTGACTAGACTCTTTAATAGATTTACATAACACGCTTTTCTTATATTTTAATATACAATAGATTTTAACCGAGTCAAAGAGCAAATATAATATTCACAGTTTCGACGTCAATCTCAATCCGTCGAGCTCGCCCTTCTAACCTTTTTGGAAGGTGTGTACTACGTGAGAGACTTGCGTTAAATATAACAGCGAAGACAATATATGATTAAGATCCAGTCAACTATAATGTCTACAAGTCGGGTTTGCTTGACGGTGATACTATCGGAGATTCAAAATTTTGACAAAGTTCTCCTAAAACAGCGGAGTTCTTTCTAGAGCTTTGATTCCTCAGTAACGATACATGTGAAGAGTTTAGCACAATTCCATTAGAAAATCGAAATTTTAACTGAATTCTGCTAGAATAACAGAATTCTTCACAGAAGTTTGATTTTAAGAGTAGAATTTTTATATAGACAGGTATATATATACATGGTAGAGCACAACTCCGTTTGATTAAGTAGAATTCTGGCTAAATGATGAAGAATGAAGTAGAGTTCTGAGTAGATTCTGCTTGATTAACTAGAATTTTGACTAGATTAGTATAGACAATATAATGCATTACAGAATTCTGCCAACCCTCATACAAATACATATACACCGTATACAATGAGAATAAAGCAAAGATCTATCAATTAATAGTGGTAACCTTTTCTATAGCCACACGAAGAACTATATAATGAACCATGTATACAATCACTAATTCTATTGTAAAGAGTTGAATAACGGTTTGCGGCACTAACAATACGTTCATCAAACATGCTCTCATTATATTCTTCGTATAAAGAGTAAACAACAGGAAGCGCAGTGATAATACCCATTGAAATAAATCGTTTGCTTGCTGTGAAACTAATAAAAGAGTTACATGAAATAAGTAAAAGTATACGTTATACATCATGTAAGAAAATTTTTGTATAATAGCAACGACGTCGTAATATTTAATAAATAAATTTTATTTCCTTGTCATTTTCAATATTAATGATTACAAGTGTTATTTTTTTAGTTGAGAAAAACTTATTAAAAAGCATACATTTCATAACATATACAAAATAGAGCATAGATAAAAAATAAATAATGTCTTTTTTTTTCGTTCTTTAAAGATCTGGAAATTGATTATTACGAAATGCTTCGAAAAATAATCGATGATCACGTCTTACTTGTTCACCATATAACTAAAAATATAAAATTTTCAAATTATTTACTAATAAAAAAATCACTATATTTTTACCATGCCAAATTCTACCATATCTTGAATAAATTCATCATCTTCTCCATGAATAGCATCTCGAATTGTAAATTCCGTATCTTTTGGTATAATTGAAAATGGTAATTGTACAACATCTTTTGGTGTATTAAGACAATCGGAATCAGCTACGCAATGAATTTTAGCTAGAAATATGAGAATGAATTATTTTCTAATTATTAAAGAAAATAAATCAATCATACCCATAGCTCGTCCAAGATATTGAATGACTTCTAAAACATCTTTAAAATCATTGATATCCGACCAATCTAAATCTTCTGAATGTGCTGTAACTGCATCAACAAGACAAGGAATTGAACCTAATGTTGTATAACCTAACCATTTAGGTGTTGATGCTTGCATTGCATATGAACATAAAACTGTACGTAAACCATCATGTTTAAAATATTCATCTAATGTTGGATTTCGAACAACATAAGAAACAGCAGATTTTTGTGCTGGTTTCATATAGAGAATAATATCATTTTCTAATGTTTCCGATCGACCTTCAATTAAAAATGAATAGGAAACTTTTCCTGCTGAACCAATTCCGGGTGATGAACGTGCAACAATATCTTTAATTTTATAAGTTAATTGTGAACTGTTAACATTTAAATCCACTTGTTTTTTATTTTCTGGTACTGTTTCTAAATATTTTTCGAATGCATGCATTAAATTATCACGTAAGTTATCATCAACATCTTGTGTATATTTTGTACGAATAAATCTTCGATCATAATTTTCAATAATTGTCATTGAATCCAAATGTGCAACATGAGATTTAATACGAGTTTCATTTAATAATTTTTTTATTTTACCTGTTGTATTTTTTAATGTTAAAGCAAAATGATCTTTTGAATGTTTACAAAATTCATAAACTTGTTTTAAATATTCTTCAATAAAAACGATAAGAATATGTTCGATTTCTCTATCGGAAAAACCTTTTGAATAGCATATTAAATTAATTGAAGTTATTAACCGTTTCACATCCCATGTAAATGGACCAACATAACCTTCATCAAAATCATTGACATCAAAATTAAGAATACCATTATTATCTAAATATGTACCAAAATTTTCTGCATGTAAATCACCCTAGAAAAAAAAAACATATTATCGATTTTTAATCTTTTATATCGTATTTTTACATGAATAAAAACTTGTCCAGCAGCTTGATTTCGAGCAATGAATTGATCTTGATCAATTTTTAAATCTTGATAAAATAAGACTGCTGATCCACGATAGAAATTAAATGGTGTAGCTGCCATTTTACGAAAACGACCACGAAAAGCAGTTGGATTTTCACGAATTCCAGCATTAAAAAATTGTGAAAATGTATCAACGATAAATTGAGTTCGATGTATATCAGATTGTGCTCGAATACGATAGATAGCTTTTTGAGGAGCATGGACATCGAATGATAATCGATTTGATTGATAACGATTGTTATTATTGTATATGCGCGACATGATTTATTAAGAATTTTTATTTATGGTGTAGTCTTTAATCAACTTACTAATCAAATATATAATCAGTGGCAGTTGAAATGGATTCGAATAATTTCGAAAAAAAACGTGCCTCTCTCACTTTCTCTCCTTTTTTTTTATTTGCACGTATATTTGATCAGTTAATGTTAGACATTTTTTTGCTCGATGTCAAATAAAAAAAAAGAAGAGATTTGACGCGAGTGAATACCGAGGTGTTTTCTTTCAAGAAACAAATACGATAACCATAGAAGAATTTGCTGCGTGGCAAAAAACTATTTAATATCTTGTTTTTTATTGAGTATATAAGTTTGTGAGGAAATTAAAATCCAAGAAAATGATAACAATATCGATATAAACGGAAAAAATCTTGTCGACAAATATATTTAGTTGAAGTTCTATTAAAAATCGATTCTTGTTTCGTTTGTTCATCTGTAAAAATTTTACGTAATTTCTTTTATAACAACAGAATAACTATGTTTATTAAAGTGAAATAAAATATGGACTAAATTATGTTAAATAAATACATTAGACGAATATCAATCAAGAGGAAAAGACAAGTACAATATTTATAGAATATGATGAAATATAAATATCTTGTACGTACATTGACATTGAAAAAATAGGATAAATCGCATATATATTAAATTAAATTAGAATAATTTGTGAATAAGTAACACTCTCGCAGATAGTTTTTACTTTAGCTATTCGTATCTGTTCGATTTATGTTGATCTTTCAACAGTGGCGGATCTAGGATTTTGGATGGGGAGGGGGGGGGACGATTTTGGCTAAAAGCTATTTTTGAATTCAAACGAAGTAGTGTGAACCTATTTTTTCGTTCGTTTTTGCTATAAAAAAAATTCGGTAGGGGGAGGGCGATCACACCCTCTAAATCTGCCACTGCCTTCTAAAAATTATGGTATATTCAACGGTCATAAATCAGTCGCTGAGATTTTACTTAAGTTTCAAAAAATATTTTCTTACATATAAATAATTATTTTTATCATGATCAATATAGTCAAACTAAATCTATTTGACTTTTTCATCATCCTTGGAATTTTGTATCTCTTAATCCTATTGATATTTCAGGTTTTTTAAATAAGTAAAATACCTTTTTCATACATATGATTAACTATTGTAATTAGAAAATGTCTATTTTCACTCCATCAGATAAATGTTCCTAAATTGTATTTTTTTATTCTTTAAAACATTCTATATATGACAAAGTAATATCAAACAGAAAACTAATACACACAATATAATTATAGAAAAGAAATTAATAAAAAAAATATGTTTAATCTAATCAAGTAAACAAGCTTCATATAAATTTGTACCTTTTCGTAATAAATATCCATTATCATTAAGTTTTGTTATTAATTCATCGAATCTAATCATATTAATTTTAATATCCTATGTATTTAGAATAAGAATGATATATTTAATGTTAAAATAAATACGTACTGTTGCTAATTGTTTTAAATCAGCTATTGAAAACATTTTACTTTTCTTTTTTTCACTTACACATTTAATAGCATTCATTAGTTTTTTTACTTCAGCTGCTCGACTCATTCCCGAGCCATGTTGTAATCGTGAAAAATCAAGATGACCATTTTCATCGGTAAATGTATCAATCATACTAGCTCGCATAATTTGTATAACATCGAGAGCATCTGATTTAGTACATTGTTCACGTAATTCAAGTTTAGCACGAGCCTAAAAAATAATTTTTGTAAAGAAGAAAAAAATAAATATTTATATTTTTCTTTTTTACTTCTGTAAGTCGCATTAATGATTCAAGTTGTCGTAAAGTAATAGGAGTTGTTCCATCACGTTGATGAGCAACGCGTAATTCAAAATAAAATTTTTTCAAAATATCAATTGCATCATGTGTAAGACGAGGTTTAACATATCGACGAGCATAAGCAATATACTATGAAAAAGAATTTGAAATATTACATGATGAAATTCATCAAAATTTTACTTTTTGTAAAAGACTTGGTCCAACAGGTTCGATTGATTCACCTTGTTTAAGACGTAATCGATCAATTAATAGAATATTATCAATAGATGTAGATGCTGTTTGTAGTTGTTGATTATCAGTTGTAACTGTTTCATGTTGTGTTCGAGTTGAATTAACAGTTGTATTATTATGTGATGAACGAATTGAACGATTATGTTGAGCAAGTACATGTTCAGATAAACGATAATCAAGTTCATCATCAGCTCGATCAATAAGAATAAAAACAAGATCAAATCGACTTAAAATTGGTCCTTTTATTCTTAATTACAAAAATATAAAAGAATTATTCTTCCAAATATATATATTTATATATGAGTTTATACTTTAAATTTTCAGCTACTGTTTTGCCTTTATTATAATGACCACCAACAGGATTTGCAGCAGCAATAACACATGTTCGAGCTGGTATAGTTGCCATAATACCACCTTTAGCAATGGATACACATTGTTGTTCCATAGCTTCAAGTAATACTTGTTGTTGTTGTACCATTTTATCAAATTCATCAATACAACAACAACCTTGATGTGCCATAACAAGTGCACCAGCATCCAACATTAATTCACCATCTTTATCTTTATGTAATGTAACTGTAAGACCAGATTGTGTTGAACTTGTACCACAAACATATACACCTTTGTATATTTCAAATAAAATAAACATTTTATATTGATCATAAAAATATTATATATATTTACCACGTGGTGCAACACTAACACAAGCATGAAGTAATTGACTTTTACCAAGACCTGGATCACCGACAATTAATATATGTGGATCCGAACGAATTGGAATATGAGACTAAATGAAAAATAATAGAAGACATATTTAATTTTATTAAACTTACTACATTATCTTCACCTCGAACTAATCCACCAAATAAAGCCATTAAAAGTGCTGCTTTAACAAGTTCATGTCCATATATACTTGGACAAATCGAATGAACAAGAAGTCTATTATAATATAAAATAGAAATTATTTATTTATAAAAATAAAATATTTTATTTACTTTAAAACATTTTTTTGTTGTTGAATTTGTTGAATACCATACAAATCAAATAAAGAAAAATCCATTGTATTCATTAAACCACCACCGCCTGATGCTCCATCAGAACTATTTAATCTTTGATTAACAACTGAATTAACATCAATATAAACTTGAAGTAAAGATTGATCAGATACTTTACGTAAACCACCTTAATATATAATATTTAGTTTTTTCCGATTCATATAATTTCAAATTAACTTTACATACTATTTTCATCAACCATTAATTTTACAATACCAGATACAACTACAACATCACCTGGAATAGCACTATTAACAAGATCATTCGTTAATTCACATTCAATTGTTTGTGGAATACGACCAGGTGCTTTTGATGCTTCTGAAGCAACTTCTTGCAATCTATATTAAAGATTTCAATTCAATAGATCATTTTAATAATTAGGAAAAATTCAAACCTTATTGTTTGCCAATCAATAATTGTTGTTAATGGATGTGAACGTCGTTGAACAAATGATCGACCATTACAACCAGGTGTTAGACAACGTTCCGGTTCAGTATGTTTACCATTTTCACATGTTACACCAAATGTATGTCGACATGTTGAGCATTCAAATGCAAGACGAATTACCAAACATTGTGAATTACTTACACGTACAACAACACCTCGAATTGATGCAAATTTACCTATATATTTTATAATTAGTTTATACGATAAAATATCATATCTCTAACCATAAGCCTGAGCTTTAACATCTTTTAATTTGATCATAGGATCAAAATTAATCAAACGAGCATGAATTATTGGAAGATCAACAAGTGGTACTGTTGGATGATGACATTCACTTGCTGCTATTCGATCTTTTTCTTCTTGTTCATCAATAATACACTATAAATATAGATATAGAGATATATATAAATAAAAAAATAATTTTAATACTTGATGCATTGCTAAACCAATCACTCGCATTGTTGTATCATTTTGATCAGAAAAAAATAAACTCCAACTTTCTTTTTTATCTTTGAAAGCTATCAGAGAAAAAACTATTTAGTAAATAATATTTTATTATATTCATTTTAAACCTTCATCTTTAAGTATTTCATCAAAATTAATCGTAAATGACTGTTTATGTTCAATATCTGACTAGAAAAATAAATAGTTTTATCAATGAATGATACTTATTCAATAAATTTACAAGATCATATAAATCTTTCGTTCGTTTAAAATAACTTTCGAATAATTGACAAACTGATAAATAACTAAGATCAGATTCTTTATCTACAAGGGAAAAATATTAGGCTACGAGTCATAGTATATATATATATATACATGTACCTGTATCAGGAAAATAAAGTGACCAACCACGATAACGTGCTGGTTTTTCAGTAACATTAATATAAGTAGCTAAAGGAAAAGAATTTTGAAATTAGAATTTGTTTTTGTTCATATAATTACGTACTTATAGGTGTTTGAATAATTTTAACTGGACTTGATGGTGCTGCATGAGAATGATTTCGGTTAGAACCATCATCATCATCTGGTTTCGATGAATTTTCATTATTTGGTTTCTTTTTTTTCCAATTTCGATTTTTAAATTTATTATATGGATTATAGCCTTTCTTTTTCTGTCCATTTTGTTGTCCTTGTTGTGGCTTCTTTTGTCCTGGAGCCATAACAAGAAACCAGAGAATTTATCTGAAATAAAATCAAAAACAGCTAATCCAGGGAATAATAAACATAAAAACGAAAATATGTTAATCGAATAATTCAAATACACATAGGAAAGGAAAAAAAATAACGATCTCGAAATAGATAGGCATCGTCGATAGTTTAAACATATAAAAGTATTTCTATCTAAATTCTCACAAAATATCATTCATAATTTTCCGAACATGCACATCTTGGATATAATATAGTTGAATCTTTTGTAATTTAAGCGCTAATTATTGATGATACTATTAGTTTTTCTTTTTTGGAGAATATTTTGTTTTTCGAATGAATTTATTTAATAAAACTAATTCTTCTACTGTTCTTCGAACATGTACACCTTGTTGTCCGTTTGATGCTAAAAATTTACTTCATCCACAATACAATTATTTTCCTTTGAATGAAATCGAAACCAATGCTAATAGAATAACTTCAAATTCAGATGCATGTTGTTTAAGTAAACTTCAAGTTGATTGTCGTATTCAATATCATAAGAGAAAAAAGAAAAATAAGAAAATCAAACGGTATGATTCAATAAATTCTTATCAAAACATAAAACGAAAGATTTCATCATCAAATCGTCATCGAAAACAAAAGAAATTTCGTTCAAGTACGAATACAAATAGTCATTATGATTTGAATACACAAACATCTTCATCATCTCTTTCGACATTATCAAATACTGATGAAAGTCAGTTAACTGAACAATCATATTCTTCGAATCTATCGAAAAAACAATATCAATATTATAATAAATCAACAAGTACAATCTTTGAATAACATGTATATATATATATTCGAAATAATTTATCTGTTTTTACATCAGATGCACAACAATATGATAAAACAAATCAATCACAACAACATATTCTAGATTTAAAAACTTCTATAGATAATCTAACACAATTATTTATTCATCAACAAAAATCTAATCAATCAATTTTTATTTCATTTATTGATAAAATTCGTCATTTTTTTACTTCATTTAAATCATCAACAACATCAAATGAAGATCGAATCAATGAAATTCTTGAACGAAATCATTTAACGAAAGAAAAACTTGTTCATATCTATCATTTATTTGATAAAAATGAAACAATATTTCTCAATTGGTTACAAACTATCATGCCTAACTATTTTCTTCCACTATTACTCAACTATGTTAAACATTTTGATTCGATATCAACTGATAACATATAATACATATTGCACTATTTTTGTTTCGTTTTTGCATACGAACATATAAAAAATTTTATTTTGTCTATGACGATTCTTATCTTAGCAAAAAATATCACATGACATGAATTATTTTTCTAGGTTCGCCTTGAACGAATATTTATAGGAATGATTTTCATGTTTAAATTGAGAGAATCCAATAGAAATAAACTATCATTTAGTTATAATAAAATTTTTCGTTATGATTCATTAAATAAAAGTTCAATTATTAGCTTTGTGTTTCTACCTGCCGTCCGTCCGTTCGTTAGTCCGTTATTACTCTTTCTTCCAGCTTACTTCAACAGAACGCAAAAAGAGAAAAAAACGAGAGAGAAAAAAATCATGTTGTTATTATTCTTATTCGTTTGCTTACATGTTTTTCTTTTCTCTTTTTCTTCTATTTCTTTCATTCTGTGGTGTGTGCGTGTGTCTATCGCTGTCGTCGTCTTCGTTTATCCTCCATATTTACTCGAAGTATATTTGCCTCTCTACTGGTGCCGCCATTCATTCCCCCATCGTTGCATATTTCCCTCGCGCCGCCGCTTCTGCATCACCGACGGAGCACGCCAGTGTCCACTGCTAGTTCTAATTTACTATTCGTTGTTGTAACGAAGTAGCAACAACGAGGTGGGATGTAAGTCGAAAATGGTCGCCGTCTTTAGTTACCATATAATAAAAAAAATATTTTCGTTTTTTTTCTATTCCTATCTAGGGCACATTTAAATCAGAATGAACCGTTATGTATTGTACAAGGATGTCCAAATGGTCTACAAACCAATCCATCAATACAATATTTTGCTGTACCAGTACATACAGCAAATATTGCTGCAACTTGGTATAAAAATACAATGCGTACTGATTTACGTTCATCACATACACATCGTGTATGTGAACAACATTTTGAAGAACCATGTTTTGATTATGTTGGAAATGGTACCAAAGTACTTAAACCAAAATCATTACCGACGTTATTTGATTTAGAAGTTTTTTATAAAATGATTGCATATCATGATAAATTACAAGAATCCGATAAATCAAATAAGAAAACAAATATTACTTTTCATACAAGTAATCCAGATTTAGATGGACGAACATTAGAACCAATATTAAAAATGAATCTTGAAAGTGGTCATGTTAAAACACGTTTAGCACCAACAACATCAGTTAATAATTCTCAACAAGAACAAACAGATAATTTAATTAATAAAAATCAATCATCTTTTGTTGTTAATAAACCATTATTAAACCATCATGATAATGTAAGAAACAAAACATTTTCAGTAATGAAAGTTTTTCTAAATATATTTGTTTATAAAATTTTTAGTTTGAAAATAAAGCATCGAATCGTTGTCATGTTGAAGGTTGTGCACATAATTATGTTGCACGACGTCATCGTGTACAATTATATAAAATTCCACGTGATGCAACAGTAGCTCGAAAATGGCTTGATGCATGTGGTTTTGAAAGTATTCCAGTATTACCATCAACATCAACATTTAAAGTATGTCGTGAACATTTTACACAAAATGATTTCGAAGGACCAACAACATTACGTCCTAATGCTGTACCATCACTTTTTACTACTTATTCTCGTTCACTTATGGATAAACAAAATTTAAATGATACAAATTCATCAGCATCATCAACTCCAACATCACAAGCAAAACGTTTTCGATCTGATATGGCTAGTATTCGTGCTAAACAAACATTACCAATGAATAATAATAATAATACTATCAACAATAATAATAATATAAACAATAAACGAGCACAAATGCCTTATCGAAATAATAATAATAATAATCAATATCAAAGACAATTTCATCATAATCATGATCAACAACAACAACAGCAACAGCAGCAGCAGCAACAACAATTGCAACAAATTCTATCACCATCACCAACACGTGAAAATTTAGACGATAATCTTAAACAAATCATTAATGATACAAAACAAATAACAGATATAGAATTAAATCTAAATTGTTCAGACGAACAATTATCCGAAGTTCAATTAGCACATTGTCCTGTTAAAGTAAATTTTATTCAATGTATTGTTATGTTATAATTTTTTTCTTTCGAAATAATTAGGCTCTTGATCGAACAGAAACAACAAATGGTATAACACCAAAACCACGTAATCCCGTGGGTCGTCCTCGTTTACATCCACGTTTTCCGCCGACGACATCATCATCATCAACAACAACGACAAATTCTGTAGCACGTCGTTCGAATTATCGTGCAAATTATGTTGATGATGATCCAGATGAATTAGATGATTTAGATGAATGGAATTTTGATGAACTTGATCAAGATGATACTGTTCGTGATCGTGATTGGGTTAATCGTCAACAAGATGATCGTTTACCATGGTCAAAACGTAATAATGCAACTGTTAATAATTATTCATCAACTTATCAACGTGGTGGTAATGGTAATAATTATCGAAATATTCGACAACCAGTACCTTTTCAACAACAACAACAACAGCAGCAACAGCAACAACAGCAACAGCAGCAACAACAACAACGTAGTTCAATTAATAATCAACAACGAGCATCTCGTGGACAATTTTATCAAACACAGTTTGTTAAACCAGAACCAACACGAAAAGCAACAATACCATTTCTTCAACCAGCTTTTGCTCCAAATGCTTCAACACAATATCCACGTGATCAACCATTGCCTCGTCTTAAACCAGGCACAGTTCGAACACGAGGTTAATTCTTAAACAATTTTTCTCTAGATTTAAATAATCACTTTTATTTTTATTATTTTAGAAGAAGGTCTCGAAGTTGAACTTGGTACGTATTCTCTTTCATTCGTAACCTAATATTTTACTGTTTTTTTTATCTTTTAGAACATACGTATAAACGAGCATTATCGAAATATTATGGTCAAAAACCCGGTCGAAATTTACCTTTATCCGATTATGGTGATTTTCGTAGTCAAGTAAATAAAATACTTCAAAAAAAATGTTTTTCGTTTCATATTTAACATAAACATAGTAATTCTAGTGTCCTATGTGTGAAAGTCTTCTATTTGATAATAATATACAATTGATAACACATCTTTGTCAACATCTTGATCAACAACAACAAAATGATGAAAATAATCGTGAAGAACAATTTCAACCACATACAAATTCTCCATTCGAACAAATTAATACGAAATGTCCACATTGTCAATCAGAATTTTCTAATCCATATTTTCTTGCTATGCATATTGATGATAAACATATGCTTGAAATAAATGAATATCGTTGTCGTATATGTGAACAACATCATACATCATTATTAGAATTAGTAGCACATTTAAATTTATGTCATTGTGGTTTAGAAATGCCATATTTTTGTAAAGTATGTTCATTTCGTACATCAATGCATGCTGATATGATTTATCATATTGATGAAGTACATAAAGGTACAAGATATTTCTTTTGTCCATATTGTTTTATTGCTATTGAATTACCATTCATGACAAATTCATCAACAATACTTAACGGAACATTAGCTTATAAACATTTATTACTTCATTTTAATAAAGTTGATCAAGGACGTACAACACAATCAAAATTTAAACATTGTAGAAAATGTGTTTTACATGTTGCATCAATGAAAGATCATTTACAACGTGATCATTTAAATATCGTTGATGGAATAAAAGCAACTTATTATGATGAAGATGAAAATCGTAAATAAGAAGAATTATTTTTATATTTTATATTTTATTTTTTTTGTTCTTAGAAGAAAAACAAAGTGATGAAGGTGAACAATACGATGATTCAATCATGGATACATCTTCATTATCCACTGATAAACCAACTTCAAGATATATAACACCAGCAAAAACTGGTTAATATTTTTTTTTTGTTTTATGTACATTATTATCATTGTCTCTTTTTCTTTCTTCATTGCTTCTTCTCTCTCTCTCTCTCCTATCCGTTCGGTCATGTCGATCGAACACTGTTTGTGTGTTTATGTATGCGTATGGGTGTTACGACATTTATCGTTTCTTTTTTTTTTTTGTCTTTGCAGAATATAACTTTGCGCCTGTCTTTTTTTCTTCTTTTGATTATCACATATAGAAGATTATTTGCATGGCAAATAATTTTGCTTGACAATACAAAAAAGAAAGAAATGATAAAGTACAAAAAAAAAAAGAAAACAACCAAAAACAAACAAATAATCAATGTACAGTAACAAATAACAAGTTTTTGAATGTGATAAAATGAAGAAAAAAAAGATGGATTCCTAAAAAAAAAAAGATGTGTTCTCGAATGAATTCTTAAATCAAACTAACATACTTGATATGAATAGAAAAAAACAAAATCATCCGGTCATTTTAACTGAGATATGAAAGATAAATGAGCATTGTTTACTAAATCACCGGCGAGAATACCATCGATTATTGATATGAACCTAATCGAATTTTATATTAGAAAAATTAAGATTTTCGTGTTTTTAATCGAACCTGTTCATAGTTATTAGGTGTTGTTTGCCTACGTCGAATAGTCGCCATTGGTAATTGTTTATTTCGTTCAAATTTTAGCGAATATGATCGATGATTATATGCTAAAATATATATATCGTAGATTTTATTTTATTTTTTGTTTAAAATTATTTACAATCGTTGATTTGTTGATAATTATTTCGTTTTAAATCTACTAAATTTGATTGTTCATCATTAATATATGACATTTGTCCATTAATATTTGAATTTAAAGGATGATGATAATTATAATGTTCTTTAAGAGATTTCACATGAAGTACACATCGATTACAATATTTAAATAAGGATTCAGTTCGACGTTGTTGTTGTTTATTATTACTATTTTCAATTCTATCAAAATGAAGTATAACATGACGAAAAGCAGGTGTTGAATTAAGAATATTTGTATCAGACATTGGTGGTAATAATACTGATTGAAAACAATAAGGACAAAAAAAATATTGTGTTCCCTTATGAAACTATTGAATGAAAAAAAGATATTTTTATATAAAATATTAGAAATAATAATAATAATTACTCGTCGAATATGATAAGCCATATCTTCATACATTGATGTACGATAATGGCATCGATCACAGAAATAAGGCATATCAAGACCAGTATGTATATAATTTAAATGAGCAAATAAATCTACTAAACTATGATAATTTTGTTGACAAATTCGACAACGAAATTCATTGATTTCAGTCATATGTTCTTGATCTTTATGTAATAATGTTTGAAATGGTGTTGAAAATTCTTCATGACATACTGAACATCGACGATAGATTTTATCAAATGGACTTATATAATTAAGATCATCTTCGAAATGTGAACATAAATGTGCTATGAATGACATATTATTTGATGATTGTTCACCACATATAGAACATTCTACAAAACAAAAAAAAAATCAAAAATCAAAAAAAATAAAAGATTTTAAATTAACATACTAATACGAAAATCTCCATGATCAGTTGAATTTATTGATTGACCATTACGAGTACCATAATAGCGTAGTAAAGTAGAAGCATAGGTATGTTCAAGTGAATCTGTCTGTTGATAACGATGCAGATTTGTTGAAGATGATGAATAAAGTGGTGAAATTGGTTCAGGTTGTGGACGAACAAAATGAGTTGATGGTGGTAATCGATTATTTGTTGAAGTTAAATGACCACGTCCACCACGACCACGACCTATGATAATAATAATAATTACAATAAGCGTTTTTTTTAGATATAAATATCTTACCTCGTCCAATACTACCATTAATATGATTAGTACGATTATATGGACGACGATCATGTTCGGGTAAATAATTTTCATCATCATCATCGTCATCATCAGATTCACTAGGAATAAAATCTTCATCAGGATCTTGAATAATTTCAATATCTTGTGTAGGTAATTTTTTTATTACTGGTGTACGCTTACGAACAGCTGGTAATGGAAGTGGAGCAGTTGGATCATACGCCTAAATATATATATAAATATATCATTAAATAAAAATTCTGAATATTTTACTTGTGTTGGATAATTTTGTAATTGTGTTTCAGTAAGCATTTCTTCTTGACATGTTAAATCTAATTCAGGAGTATCATCAAAGATTTTTATTGATGATTTTAACCAATTAGTATTTTCATTTATTAATTGTTGATTATGATAAGGATGAATTCGATGATTAATAGTATCATTATTATGCCAAGATTGAATTTTTGTTCGATCGACTGTATGTTTTACAGCTGTTTGTTGTTTTCGACCGGATGATGATGAACCATTTGTAATACGATGTTGTAACATTGAACTTAATGAATAAATTAGAATATTATTAATAATATTCTTCTATTTTAAAAGTAATATTTACTTTTCTTTTCTTTCGATGTTTACACAACACCCAAAAAATACAATAAACTTCGTATTATCAACTCTTTTTTCAATCTTACAAATATTTTTATTGAAAATATCAATCGATCAATTGATCGAGTAGATATTAATATGAGATGTAAAGAGAAAAAAGATCTATAAATGATGATTCTTTTAAATAGAGGTCTCGTTCCAGTGTAGCAAACCACTTCGAAAAGCAAATGGTTGAGAGATAACAATTACGATTGGTTGTTAACATATGACACGTAGAGGACGCACGTTACTTATTAAATCAAATACATATAAAAAAAACTAATTTATTCAAATGATCAGATTTGATCTAATATTATATTCTTCTATCAATGAAATCTATTATGGGTATATTTATTGTAAAGTGATATGTATTATGAATCTTATAACTCTTGAACGGAAAGTCATAGCGATTTGTGGTTTTCATCATTCAATAGAGGGTACTCGGGAGCACATGCCTATGCGTGAAAAATATTTACGCAAAATATCTTTTCAAATTAATTTTCCAATGTTTATAAAGTTATAATATTCTACGAGCGCGCCTAATATTTAAACGTAATGTTATCTAATAATGCAACTATTAAACATACTACTATAATAAATTCTATTCAATTGAGTTTTTCTTCGACTATTCAATTAAGTCGACATTTTATTCATGTAATTATTGTCATCCTTTTTATTTCTATTATTACATTTGTAAATCATAAACATAATTATTCTCGAATGACATCAATTCGTCCATTTTCACAATTATCTCGATTTATTGTATCAATTGGTGTTATCGGTCTTGTTCTTAATGATTTACTTGTTGTTAATGGTGTTACTCATCAAACATGGTGTTTTCTTCATCAACTATTTCTTCATTTGTTATTAATAACAATAGTTATAGGTCATGTATTACCTGATATCTATGAATATACAAATCAATATTCTCATCGATGTGGTATTATATTTAGTTTTATTATTTTACTTGTTATTCAATTATTGATTTCAATGCAATGGTTAAAAAATCATAATAATTCATCTAATATTAAATTGAATCTACCAATTCTTTGTCTTAGTAGTATTCGTCCACAAATATTAATTTTTATTGTTCATTTACTTCATCTTATATTTACTATTCAATCTATATGTACACCAATCATTCTTGATGATACTAATTCTATATCATCCATAACCATATACATAAATGAAAAATTTTGTCAATTATATAGTATTCTTGTACGTCTATTCTATTTTACTGGTACATCAATTCTTCATATATTCTTCTTACCAGGACAATTTTCAGGTACTTTATATAGTGGTATATTAGTTATCGAAATTGTACTGAAATATTTAATTATCGTCTATTATTCAAATGTAAGATATGAAAGAAATATTGCTGATCGTAATAATAATACACCATATTTAAGTTTAAAAAATGATGATCTTAGTGATGATACACGATTGCTCAATAATATTGACTGATACATAACACACACACATATATATATCCACATACAAAACAACACAACATGACAAACAGAATAACGATGTACATAGATAAATATAAATAGTTTTTATTCGTTGTTTTTTAAAGATTAATTGATGGAATCATCAATGGTGGTTTATGATGAGTTAAACGTGATGATGAAGAAGATGATGAATTACCCGAAAATGCATGATTTTCATAGACAAGAACAGTAACAGGTACATGACGCGTGTTTGGTGTTCCATTTACTTGATTAAGAAGTTGTTTTCGTTTTGCTTTATATCGTCGATTTTGAAACCTAAGAAAATTTAATCATTAAAAATATCAATATAAAAAAATTTGATTTTCTTTACCATATTTTGACTTGTTGTTCTTGAAGCTAAAATAAAACGAAAAAATGTAATATTAACATTTGTTTATTCGTCGATTTACTTACACTCAATAGACTTGCTAATTCTGCTCTTTCTGTACTTGATAAATATTTTTGTTGTGCAAATCGTCGTTCGAGTTCAATAACTTGTGCATGAGAAAAAGCAGCTCGTGAACGTCGTTTTGTTTTTTTTATTTGAACATTACTATTATTTCCTGTTCCTAGAGTTGATGATGATGATGAAGTAAAATTTCGTAGACTTAATAAAAATGATTTCGCTGCTTCACTACTTGCACTATTGAATAGATGTTGACGATAAGCATCAATACTATTTCTCATTGCACTAATACTACCACTACTTGTTGAACTATTTGAACAATCTCCATTTTCATCTACAAAATTAAATAATAGAAAATTATTAATCAATTTTATTTTTTAATATACCAGATTGATTTTTTTCTTTATCAATTGATAAATCCGTTGCTTGTTGTTGCAATTGTTGTTGCTGTTGTTGATGATGATCATAAATATGAATAGCATCATGTATTGGTCTTTTTTTCTTAACAGAACATTCTCGTAAAAGTGATTCAACATCGAATGGTTTTCCTCCGATCATATTTCTTATCTATCAAATAATAAATACTTCTTGAGTTGAGTTCGATAAAAAAGAAAAGTAATAATTTGATTGAGCATTTACAATGAGTTTTTCTTTTTCTTCTATTCAATCACCAATCAGATTTGTATGCGACAAAAAAAAGAGACAAGCATATTTTCTATTGGTTTATTATCTTTTTTTTCCTTTTTCTTTTTTCGCTTAATATAATGAGAGAGAGATGATCATCTCAGCATGATATGGAGTTTTAGTATGCATTTAGCGTGTTCGTTGATCGTATGCAGCCATTCAGGAAATGAGCAGAGAAAACAGAACAATCAAGCATAATCTTCTTCGTTGTCGTTGAATAGACACAAAATAAACGATTAACTATGTTGAAGAGAGAAAAAGACAGAAGAGACATGACACGACATGAGGAGATAATTTCAGTGAGCAACTATTTTCCTTATAGACACAAAGACAAAGACGACACTAATCGATTCCAATCAAGAGAGAGTCTCTTGACAAACAATCATTTTCATGTAATGTCAAGCATGTGCAGATGCATGTAAATTCTACAACTGTCTTTTTTTTCTTCATTTGATGGTGTCATCTCTTCTTCTTTTTTTTTCATCATATGCTTATTATTGTTTCTCTATGATGATGAGAATGATGATATTATCATTTCTCTTTAATCGACAATGTACACGAGTCAAATTACCTTACATATACTATTGACTGCTGTTTTATTATTTGTTGGTAGAAAGATGAAAGTCATTAATCTCGAAGTTTATATATTCTATATACATATATACACAAAAAACGAGAAGCACAAATGAATAATCAATCATCGATCGATCTGTTTCCAACAGTGAACAACAACACTTTTTGTTTATAACACTTGCTTATAATCGTGTGCATGTTCTCTATGAGCAAGTAGTAGTAGAATGTCAGAGAGAAACAATAAGAAACGGATGCGAACGATCAGTGCCCAAACTCAAATTAACAGACATATACACGCACATCCATATTGTCTACATTGATTCATCGAAAGAAGGACAGTGTTCATGTTGATCATCATCGGTCAGTCATCATTATCGATCGGCATTAACAAAATAACTCGAAGCATATCGCATGACTTTTTCTAACCAATAACATTCGAAAAAAAGAAAATCATTTGCTCTTTAAATTAAGTTTAGAAAACATTTATCTCTTATCAACGTCAAGCATGATTTGGAGCGCAAACTACGTTTTTTGTTGATTTAAATATTTGATACCATAAGGTCCATAATCTTTGTAAATTAAGAAATGGCAAATCAATTTTTCCAGTTGCAGCTATGGAAAACACATATATTTGATTCAAATTGAAAATATTAAAAATTTTTACCAACTTCATAGATTATTTTGGAGATAAAGGAAAAACTTTAGACCGGGACCGGGACTGAAAAAAAGTGAATATGCAGAATCCTAGTAAGATGTCATAACATAATGATATTTTTTTGTCAACTCATTTAATGTTTAATCTAAGTTTTAATTAAAAAATGTCCATATTAACTCGAAAAAAAGATTGCTTTTGAGATCACTCTATATTTTCTATTTGTAATCGATATACTATTTTTGTTTATTTTTCCCAAGACAGTAGGTTATTATATTAGAACTGATAAACACGTGTAAATTTATGAAATTAATCAGTGAATTTTTAGATTGGAATCAATTGATCGGTTATTATTATTATTTTGTAGTTTTTCAACAGTAGATGATGTATTAAATGATTATTTCCGTTAATAAAATGAAATATGATCTTCGTCTGTATTTGAGATGATTATAACAAATATTTAGTTTACATAAATATTTTCTTAGATATATAACTGCAACAATAAATGATTTTTTTTAAAATACTTTTGTCTTTTAGAAACTGTGTGACAAGGAGTTCTAGACAATATTTTCTTATCGAAATTGTTATTAGTTTACCCTTTAGTACTTGACCTTTTCGTATAATATTCTCGCAACAATGTCCTTGATAACCATATGTCTTCATATGAAAAACATCATTAGGTTATGGCATAAATATTCATAAAGTGCATTGTTATTAGAATTGTCTTCAATCTTTAACGCTTATTCATAATAGAAAAGAATATTCTACTGAATAAATCTTTTGCTGTCACTAACCTTTAAAGAAAACTATGACTTTTGATCATTCATATGATATATACTTCACTTGAAGTTGTTTTTGAAATAGTTGATTAATCTTATTGTTTTTTTCTTACTGCTCGGATCTATTTTTATTAGAAACAATATGAGAACGTCTTCTATAGAAGTACTCGTCGATGTATAACATAGAGCAACTTAATTAGATATTAGATTTAACTCCATCTATTTTTATGGTATTATATTCTTCCAGAATATTTTTATTTGAAAAAAATATTGGCGACATATGGTTCGATGCTATGATGTTTTTGCTTATATTACTAATTATCTATATTATATTAGAAATAGAATAGACTGATTCTAGAACTTGATAAGATTGTTTATCTTATGATGACAAAAAAATTCCTTGTGTCGCAGTATGTACAAAAAAACCTATGATTGTAATAAATGATGATATTGTCGATGTTTATTCTCATTATTTATATTTCTTTGTTGGTTCCAGATACAAAGTTATTATCTAATTGAAGTTATTTCAACCAAATCGAGTCTAATTTGTAAATCAAAAGTGACAAATAAGGACTGATGAATCAACGGATTAAATAGTCATTTATATTGACTGTGTACTATCAGAATTAAAAATACCATAAAAATCATTTTCGCAGAGATAAAATGAATACCAAAGATAATCAGTCTTTCATCATATTTCTTATCACATTCTAACGGATACAAATGATCAAATTTCTTCTTAATTCACTCAGAAGAAAATTTGTCTCCTATCCAATTTCCTTCGTGACACTTCTTCAATTTCAATTTTTCTATAAATATAATATATCTATTGATAAATTTGTTCGAGTATTCAAAAACAAAAATAGAATATTAAGATAAAAGAATTTATTGTAATTGAAATAATAACGCAGACAGATAATAAGTTGTACATCTTTGGTTTAATTACGCAAATATTTGTGAAATAGGCCTATAGGAAATAAAATAATTTGACAAGTGCAATACAAATTCTATCTAAACGTGATTATTTAAAAAGTTAAGATTAAAATATGTACTCATGAATTGACATGTGGATAATACGGATCAGAATGATAAGGAGGTGGAACAAATCGTTGATGAGAATTACTATGTTCGATTTGTACTGGAATAGATACAAATGTTTTTGATGATTCCTCATATGGTTGTTGATGATATGCAGGATAGTTTCCATCATCTCGTATTGTTCGAACAACAACACGTGGATGTTGTTCATGCATTGATACCATTTCTGGATATTGTGGTTCATATTGATATGGAGGATGAGTTGGTGAATATCGTGGTTCACTTTCAAAAGGTACATGCATACGTTCACGACTTGATTTAAATGATCGTTGGGTTTGAAATGATGTATCTTCTTCACGATTATGATGTGGCATTCGATTTTCTACACTAGTTGCTGATGGAACTGTTCCTTGATAATCACGATTAAAAAAACGAAGTTCACTTGTATTAGTTGCATTACTTCGAGATGGAGTTGAACTTTGTTCATTGGTAAATTCTTTTGGACTACCCATTGTATCTGAAACTTTACCGACGACAGTTGGATCAAGTTGTAATAAACGTTGTTTATCATTTGCTTGTGGATCTATATTAGCTATTGTTTGAGCTTTTTTAAGAGTTGCTTCTTTCTTTTTCTGTAATTCTGCCACAATATGACGATGTTTTTGTGCATTTCTAAATATAAAAATGTATTAAAAAAGATAGATATATATATATGTTTTAACAAACCTCATTCGTCGTAAGAAAAATGTTAATACAAATAAAAATGTAACAAATCCGATGGATGCAGGTATAATAATTAAATTAAGTTTATTTCTATTACGTGCATATATTTGAACATTACCAATGCGAAAAACATGAGCAGTAATTGCTGCATTAACTTCATCTTTTCGTCGTATTATAGCTTCTTAATATATTAATAGAAATAAAATAAAATTGATCGACTAATTTTTTTTTTAATACTGACTAGTTATTAAATCTTTATCAATACTATGTTGCTGACCCTTTTCATCTGTACATATACCACGAAAACTTAAATCAAGAAAACGTGCATCTTGTTTTGGATAACCTGCTTCTTCTTCAAAATCACTGAAATAACAAACAAAAAAAGACAAATTAAAAAATATCAATAAAAATAAAACTATAATATTTACATTGTTTTACATGCAACACCTTTTTTTTCATCAGTATATTTCAATTCAGCATCAAGTGCTCGCTCCATTTTATCCAATACTTGAGGTTTCCACTAATAAGAAGAAAAAAACAATTTTTTAACGAGTTAATTATTGAAATAAACAAACCTCATATAATTTAAGATCCATTAAACGTACAAGTAAATAAGGACTTTCCTCTAAATGAATTGAAGATTTTATAATAATTAATTTTTTTTTTATCTCTACTAACCTGTAAATTTTTGTGCTTGAGTAAAAGAGATGAATATAAGGAATACAAAGAAATATTCCATTATCGATCGAAATAAACATTTAAAATGTATATAAGAAGAATTAGAAAAAAAACCGCACATTGCAACCTTGGAATGCTTATGGCAGCGTATAGTTAAAAATATGTTGATGTGATGTGAATGTCAGTGTAATGGGCGAAGGAAAATATAAGGAGAGACAAAAAAGCGGATCTTTTGGGTTTTTTCTTCTTTTTCTTTCTTCCGTATTTTGAACTGCATCTGGCGG